TCCCCCCTAAACTTCAAGTCCCGACAGACTTTTCCCCTCTTTGTTTCTTTACTCTAGGAAACATTTATTTATTATTTATTCCAGGTTTCACTCCCAGATTGAAAGCCTTGACAGACTTTTCCCCTGTTGGTTTTCCTGGGGTTTTCCCCCTTCCATGGGGGCAGGAATGGGGTGCTGGGAAGGGAAGGTGCCTCTGGAAGCCCAAGGAGCCACTCCAGGATTTTCTCCCTCAGCCCCCAGACTGTCTGCTCCTCCAGGAACAGGAATTAAGGGTGAGTTTGAAGGAGAAATTAATTTTAAAACCCCAAAACATTAAAAAAAAAAAACCCAATCATCATTTAATGCCAGTGCACGACGATGAGCAGGAGCAGGACAGAACAGTCCTGTGCAGATTAAATGTAATTTTCCCCTGGCAAATGAAACAATGCAGGGCCTCACTGAGGGGCATCTCCTGCTCGATCCAAACTCTGGGAGCTCAGCTCCCATTATCAGCTCCTGCTGCCCAGAACTGCCCAGCACGTGGGAGTCGCTCTGGGAGACGTTCCCTAAAGCTCACAGGGTTGTACAATATTCATGGTGACACTTCAAAACAATCCCCCACCACACATCCCAGCACAGCTTCCCCAGGGAAGGCAGGAAAAGCAGCTGGCACAGCCTCCTGCACCCACTGGAGGGGAGAGCAAGGAGACCATGTTACAGGGAATGGTTGTTTGCCTGAAATCCTGCGTTCACTTTTGGGGTTCTTTAAGAAAAGGCCTCCAGAATTTGTTTAATCAGCATTTAGTGCCCTAATGCCACCTCAGAACTGGGAATCTGGGCAGCATCATCCTGCCACACTCCTCAGTACTCCAAAAACTCTGCTCTGAGTCTGGGGAATGAGATGGGGAAATAAATTAAAATTACCCCTATTTTTTATGATTTTAAGCAGGGTTGGGATGTCAGGCTCCAACAGGCACTCTGCTCCAAGCAGCCCCCTAAGCAAATCCACATTTCCCAGTTTGAACTCCATGATTAAACAGGTGCACTTGGCTTTCAGGCAAGTTCCCAAATCCTTCCCATTCCAACTACAAAACAACAAAGGGAGACTGAATTTCCAGCTCCAGCCAATTTTTTGGGGAAAAAAACCCATCCAGCCACCAGCAAAGACTCTGAATTCTGCTCTAAAAGCAGCAAGATGTCATTTGGAAGTTGTCATTTCGGCAGCAAAGATTATTTATTTTCCTCCAGTTGGTTTGGTTCGGGCAGAGATTTATGGATTTCGAGCTCTCCTAAAGACAGGCAGCACCTCCCAAGCCACGTTTACCTGATTTGATTTATAAAGCACCACCTGTGACAGCATTCCTGGGAAAAGGGGGGCTCCCAGCTCTGGGAAGGGGCTGCTGCCACGTCTTTGTGCATTCTGAAGCATCACCACACGATTCCCCTCATCCCTGGAGACCTCATTAAAACAGAGCCCCAGAAGTGGAGCAGAAAGAAGCTGCGGCGTGACATCGGCAAATTTACATGCAAAGTTTCCAGAAATATCCGTGCTTTAAAACAAAACAAAAAAAACCCCAAACAAAACCCCGGCAAAACAACAAAAGCCCCACCAAACCCTACCAAAACAAGACATTCCAGTGCACACGCTCTTCCCTGGGGACAGGCCAAAGAGAACAAAGCCACGTGAGGCCGCGATTGCTCAACGCCGCTCTTGGAAGGTGTTCAAGCCGATGAGAAGCGCCGTGTAAGCCCATAACGAGCAGAAAAGGGAATTTATCCCAAATGTAAACTCCGTCCTACCCTTTGCCTCCACGCAGCAAACACGGCCGGGGGGGTTTGGAGATTACAAAACGCTCTGCAGGTAAACTAAGGAGCTTTGGACCTTTATTCTCCTTGACTCAGGACGAGCCTAAAATTAGCAGGGAGTGCAACGCTCCGCGAGTTACGCTCCCGAAGCCCGGCCCTGCAAACCGGGCAGCACGGGGAGGCTCACACAAAGCTGGCCGCTATTTATAATTCCTTTCAGGCACAAAACAGGGTGACACTTCCCTCTTCCAGCTCCGACGCTTAAAAATAGAGCTCGGGGACTACAAGGCAGCCAGCAGCGTTTCTCCACAAAAGGAGGAAAATAAATCAGCACTAAATAAACTCCCGGCCAAGGGGAAGCTGCGGGCGCAGCGGAACAATGAGCCCCGGGGCTGGGACGGGAAACACCCCGGGGCTTTGGGGGGCTGGGGGGGTCCCCCATGGGTGTAAACAGCGGGGCAGGGGCACCCCCGATCAGCCGCGGCCTCGCCCCGCCCCGGGCCCGGTTTCCGGGTAGTAACAGAGCAGCCAATCCGCGGAGTTGCGGAGCTCGAGGCCTTTTCCCTGCGAACGCCGCTCCGGGGCTGGCACTGCCCCAAAACCGGGGCGGACCGCAAAGGGGAGCCCCCGTTCTGCTGTCCCAGGGGGGGAGATACACAGAGCGGCCGGGCCTGGAGCCCCAGGGCTTCCCAGTGGGAGAATCCCACACTTGCAGGCCGCTGGGGAGCGGGCTCGGAGGTTTTGGGGAGCACAGAGCCTTCCTGCAAAGCCTGCTCTGAAGGGTCACAGTCACCCCCTTTTGGAGCCCCCCAAAAGGGAGAGGAGGGATTTTCTGGCTCTCTTTTCCCGGCCTGGAGGGAGACAATGAGCGCCGGGCAGTTGGGATGGTTAAACATCAGCCGCACACGTTCCCGCAGAGCTCTGCCCTCCCCGAGCCCCACCGAGAGCGAGCAGGCACCGCTCCCCTTCCCTCCTCACAAAGAGGCAGCCGCAAAAGGACACGGACGTGGCAGGATTGAAAATAGGAGCCGTAAAAAGGCCTCGCTCGGCTCCTAAACCTGTCAGAGCAGGAGAAGGCAGGAGCGTTGTTCACCCTGCCCGTGCCCCCTCCCTACTGGGAAAGGTAGCCATAAATCCATACTATTATTCTCCGTTGGATGAAGGGGATGAAAAGGGAAACTGTAATGAAAATGGCAGCAAAAAGGGGGGGTAAAAAAAACCCCAAACAAAAACACCCTCCACAGCAACAAAACCCTGAAAGCCCCAGGAGGAGATGCCCTCAAGCACATTCCTTCAGTCCTCCCCTGGCCAGCAGCGAGCCCCTCCGTGTCTCAGAGCAGAGCCTGATTCCAGAGCGGCTTCCAGAGGGGGAGATTCCCCAGGGAAGCTGCCGGGGCCTAGCGAGCGGCTCACCCCGAGCGAGGCGAGCCAGGCAGACAAACAAAAAAGGCCGGGGAGGGAGGGAGCGAGGGAGGGAGGAGTGCTGAGGAGTCATCTGACACATCCAACTTCCTAAGTTTGTTGTCCGCAGGAGACCGACTGCTCTAACCCTCACCCCTCGCAAAACAAGGAAAGCAGAGCCGACAACACGAGCTTTGCTTTTGGAAAAGCCATCGGGGTTCCTTTTGTCAGGGGGCAGAAAGAGCCGGGGCACAAAGTGCCCGGCCCCGAGAGGAATCCCGGATATTCGGGGCTTTCTACCTACCCAGCTCCTAGAAACATACAGCAAAGGCACTTCGCAGGGAAAACCTGCTCTTTGTCCTCCAAAATGCTGCGATCGCTGGAGAAGCCGGCAAGGAACCGAACAAAAAAGGGAAAAAAAAAAAGAAAAAAAAAAAAAAGAAAAGAAAGAGAGGGGGAGGGGAAAGGGAAGCAGAGCAGCAGCCGAGCAGGTCGGGCCTCGGCCCCTTCTCCAGGGTATCCCCAAGAAAGGTTTTCCCCCCTGGCCCAACAGCTGGAATTCCCGAGCCTCCTCCCGGTGCGATCAAGCATCGATCGCAATTGGCGGAGTCTGACATGTGTGTAACTTTAAACCCCCGGATAAAAATAGCTCCGATTCGAGCACCATCAGGACTCATTTCCTATTTGCTTCAAAACAGGGCGAAAAATACACCGAGAGCAGCTTTGTGGGGAGCAAGGCGCTGCGAGAACGTCAGACAAGTTTCCTTCGATAAGCCACAAACAGGAGCGCTGCTGCTCCTCCCTCCCCCCTCCCTTTCCAAAAAAACACCACCAAATCCAGATAAGTTTGTTTATCTCCCTCTGGGAACTAAATCAGACCCGTTTCTCGACCCCTCGAGAGCAGCAGGGCAGAGCCAGCAGCCCCGAGTCCTGCTGAGAGAGGTCGGGCACGTTCAGGAGACAAATCCGAGAAACATTTCATCCACTCTTGTCATTGCTACCCTTTCCCGGCTCGCACCGCCACCTTGTAAACAAAAACTATTAATAAAACAACCCCAGAACCGAATTCCCAATGGTATTTTTCAACGCCACCCACTCTCCAGACAGAGAGAAAAAAGGGATTCACCGCCCCGTAAAGGGCCAGGAATAAAAACAAGGAGGAAAAATATAAACAGATCTATGTAGGAAGAAGGGGAAAAATAAAAAGTAATAAAGCCTAACCAAACCTGGAGGGTTACATAAACCTCTTGGGAGACGGGCTCGGGCCCTGATGCCCTTCACCCACCCCTGGGTCTGCTGAGCCAGACCCCGAGGGACCCCCCCCGTCCTCCCCAAAAAACCAAATCCCTAAGCCGGCACCAGAAGCTTCATGAACTGCGGGGTGAGATGGGGGAATAAATAATAATAATAACCCCCACAAAAGCCTTTCTTTGGGCTGTGGCTGCTGGAACTGCTCTCCCCCTCCCGGCCCTCCCCAGGGCAGGCGAGAGGGGTTCGGGGCACCCAGATTGGGGGGCACCACCGAGGGGGGTCTGCAGAGACACCCCCAGCGCCGCCTCTCACGCCACAGAGGGGATAAACCCCCCAAAATACGGCAGAAGGGGGGGTCAGGCCTCCCCTGAAGGTGAGGAGGGGAGGGCAGATCCGACCCCAGCTCCGGGAGCGGCCGCGGGGCTGCGAATGGAGGGGTCTGGGGGGCGACCCCGGCGGGGTCCCCGGTGCCCCCCGCCCTCCCACCCTCTGCAGGCCCGGCCCTGGGGGGGGAGGGCAATCCTGGTCCCCCGTGGGCCCGGGGGAGGGCACGGCAAGGATACAGCTTGACCACGTCGGTGTCCATCCGCCTCTTGCCCGGGCTGGGGGACGACATGGTGGCCGCGGCCGCCCCCGGGGCTCCGGGCGGGCTGTCAGCGCCGCCGCCGCCGCGGGCCGGGGCCGCCCGGCGCCGAGCGGAACGGGGTAACGCCTGGCCGCGAGGCGCTGGGAGCCGCCGCTGTCGCTGCCGCCGCTGCTGTCGCCGCTGTCGTCGCTGTCGCCGACAAGGCCCCCCCGCGCCGCTCGCGCTCCCTCAGCCGCTCCGGCCGCCTCTGCCCCAGCCTCTCTCTGGACCCCTGACGTCACCCGCGGTGACGTCACCGCCCCGCGGCGCTGCCATTGGCCGCGCCCTAACGTTCCGCCGGCCCCGAGGCACGCCGGGAGTTGTAGTTCTGAGCGGGGAGGGGAATGACGGAGGGGCCGCGGGTTCGAGGCCCCGCTGGGGGCGCGAGCTCCAGTTCCTCCTTTTTCAAGGATTCCCGAATTCCCCAGGCTCCCGATATTCCCCATGGATTGTGACACTCGTCTCATTCCCCCGTTTCCATTTTGCTCGTTCCCACCACAGCCAGGGAACCCCCTGATAAAATACGGGGTGCATCTATGTCAGGGCCTTGCAACTCCCCATGGCTCCCCCATTCCCACTTTTTCCACAATTCCCCACAGCTCCCCCTGTTCCCAGTATCTCCCTTGTTCCCCGTGGATTCTGGAACAACAAACCCCCTTATTCCCCTGTTTCCTATCCCCAAGGGGGTCAGGGAAACACCCCACAGAATATGGGGTTTACCCATCCAGAATATGGAGTTTGCCCATATAGAATATGGGATTTGCCCATCCAGATTATGGGATTTACCCATCCAGATTATGGGGTTTGCCCATATAAAATATGAGGTTTGCCCATCCAGAATATGGGATTTGCCCACACAGCATATGGGGTTTGCCCATCCAGATTATGGGGTTTGCCCACACAGAATATGGCATTTGCCCACACAGAATATGGGGTTTGCCCATCCAGAATATGGCATTTGCCCTTGGCAATCCCATTCAATCCAGGCAGGAACATGGCAGCTGGCCAGGCCCCAGAGCAGGAGTCACCACCCCGGATTTCCGCTGGGACATCACCAGAGCATTTCCCTGTGCCTCAGTTTCCCCAGCCGGATGATGACAGCACCAATGGGTGTCTCCCAAACTGATGGGATTCCTGTTTGGAACCTGCCCACCCCACATTCCTGACCCCGGCATCATCCCATAAATCTGTCCCGGTGCTTCCTCCCCCTGTGGGGAGGAGACACGGCCAAAGAATCCCAAAAAAGCTCCTCCTTTAATGCCCCAACATGCCCCGAGTTTGGCAGGGGCAGGAGGTGACATCACCTGAGGGGACTCACATCCACACCCCACATTCCAGGGGGGAACTTGGCAGGGAACAGGGTCCTGTTAGAGCAGGGCAGCTGGAAAACTTGGGCTAGAGGATCCTGTGTTTCCCAGGCCACAATATTCCCTGACTGGAGAACTGGACAGGGAAAACCAGGGATTTTCCCATCATTTCTTGGAATGCTTCTATCCCATCTGTGAAACAGCAGCTTTGAAACACCAGGGATTATTCCAGGATGCCAGGGACTACAGCAGCACCCCGATCCTTTTTGGAACACCTCAATGCCATTCTTACAGCACCCAAGCCTTGGAATGTTTGGGAAAATTCCTGAGGGAATTTTGGGGATCCTCTGAGCACTCATCAGTCTGGAAATTGGGGATGGGAATATCATCCTGCCTGGATTGGGTACATCCCATGATTTGTGGGGTGGGATCAGAGATGGGGGGAGGCAGGAGAATCCATGGACAGGGAATGTAGGAATAGAAGGAGCCAAAGGGAACTGCTGGAAACCACTGGAAATTGGGAAAGCAGAGCTCCAGGGAGATGTAAGGAATGGGGAAAGCATGGGGGGCTGCTGGGAATGGGGGATCTGTGGGTCCAGGCAGCTGGAAAAGGGAATCCCATCCCAGGCAATTCCCAGCCCATCCTCGTCCCTCTGGATTTGGGGTATCCCCATTTCCACCCCAACTCCCAGCCCAGCAGGGCCATGGGTGCAGCAGCCCCTCGTTAGGGCCCCTAATTAGGGAAAGGAAGGGAACCCACCCAAATTGAGGCCCTGCTGCTTCCCATGGGATCCCAAAGCTGGATCCCAGGAGAAGCCCCCAGGTGGGCAGGAGCACCCCCAAGTTTGGGGGTTCAGGGAGAGCCAGGATCAGCCCTGAGCAAGGCAGCCACTGCATTGCCAGGCACAGGGTGGGAAATCCCAAAATCCCAAATCCCCAAATCCATCCAAGGCCATGAGACAGGTGAAACCTCAGAGATGGAGCTGGGGAAATGGAGGCAGGGGACTTTTTCCTCAAAAGAAAAACCCCAAAAGGAATGACACATCCCACTCACAGCACACACCTGGAGGGAGGAGATCCAACTGTGCCAGGCTGTCTGTGGGATCCCAGCCCTTCCCAAAGCCCTTTCCCCAATATCCTCAAGGATGGAGATGACACCATTCCCTTCCCAGCAGCCCAAACTCATCTGTTCCCAGGTTTTGGGAATCCCACCCCCCCACCAGGGGGATTCATCACCCCAAACTGGCCATGGAAAAACAAAATGTGGAGTGGGAAACAGGAGGCAGTGGGATGTTGATCCCATAAGGACCAGAATGCTGAGGGACACAGGAGCCACACCAGCTCCTGACCTCCTCCTGCCCTGGGAAAAAGCACCACGCCAGCAGGAAGGAAAAAGAAAAAAAACAACAAAAATGAAATGTTTATTCCCACCTGGCGTCACTTCCCGGGGAGGTGACAACGTCCCCTTGTCACCCCACGGGCCCAGGCAGCCCTCAGAGGGACAGACAGACACAGCAGCAGCTTGGGGAGGCTCCAGCGGGGCGGGCAGGGAGGGGATCCCGGCGTGGCTGGAGCTGCCTCGGGACACGGAGCTGTGGGTGTGTCCCCGTGGGTGTGTCCCCTGTGGGTGTGTCCCCGTGGGTGTGTCCCCTGTGGGTGTGTCCCTGTGGGTGTGTCCCTGTGGGTGTGTCCCCGTGGCTGTGTCCCCTGTGGGTGTGTCCCCGTGGCTGTGTCCCCGTGGGTGTGTCCCTGTGGGTGTGTCCCCGTGGCTGTGTCCCCTGTGGGTGTGTCCCCGTGGCTGTGTCCCCGTGGGCGTGTCCCCTGTGGGTGTGTCCCCTGTGGGTGTGTCCCCGTGGCTGTGTCCCCGTGGGCGTGTCCCCTGCCCCGGGCTGGCTCCCGTGCTCAGGAGGAGGAGGAGTTCATGCTCTCCCACTGGCGGAAAATGCGGAACACCTTGCAGGACTTCTCCGAGAGGCTCTGGAAAAGATGGGAACAGAGAACAGCCACGGGTCAGGGCGCCGGAGCTGCCACTGGCAAAGGGCACCAGGGGAATCTGCAGCAAAAAACACCCAAAATGTCCCAGCTGGCTGCCAGGACAGTGCTTGGATCCTTGGCTTCGTGATCCCAATTTGCCAGTGCAGGGGAGAACAAGGAGACTACGAGCAAGAAGCAGGAATGGAGCCCAAAAAGCAAAAAAGGGGCTCCAAAAAGCAGAAAGGGACTCCATAAAACAGGAAAGGACCCCAAAAGACAGGAAATTTGCCAGCCAGACAGGAGAACAAAGAGACTACGAGCAAGAAGCAGGAAAGGACCCCAAAAAGCAGAAAGGGACCCCAAAAAGCAGGAGGGGAATCCAACAAGAAGGAAGGGGCTCCATAAAACAGAAAAGGACCCCAAAAGGCATTAAAGGATCCCAAAAAGCAGGAAAAGGCCCCAAAAGGCATGAAAGGAGCCCAAAAGGCAGGAAGGGACCCCAAAAAGCAGAAAGGGGACTCCAAAAAGCAGAAAGAGACTCCATAAAACAGGAAAGAACCCCAAAAGGCAGGAAAGGAGCCCAAAAAAACAGGAAGGGACCCCAAAAAGCAGAAAGGGACCCTAAAAAGCAGAAAGGGACTCCAAAAAGCAAGAAAGGAACTCAAAAAGCAGAAAGGGACTCCAACCATCCCCTGCTCCAGCTGGGTCTGACTTGTGACTGGTCCTGCTGGACCATCTGGAGCTTTGCTGGCACACAGCAGAATCACAGAATCATGGAATGGTTTGGGTTGGAAGGGACTTTAAAGATCACCCAGTTCCAACTCCCTGCTGTGGGCAGGGACACCCCTAGAAGGGACCTGTTGGGGACACAAATCCCACAAAACCCCAGCACAAATGCTGAAGGGAGAATGCTCCATCCACTGCTCTCCTGAGCCCCAGGTGAAGCAGGAAGGAGCTGGCAGGAGCAATCCAAGTGGACAATGAGATCCAGGGAGGCACAGCCACAATGAGGAGGGAGTTTGGCCTCAGCAAAGCTGGCACCCCAAGAGCCTGGAGCTGGGATGGCTGCAGAGAGCAGCTCTGGGGACACTCTGGGGAATGAAACCGGATCTTGGGAATTTATACTGTTATTTATAGCAGCCCTGGAGCAGCTCCAGCACAGCCCAGCCTTGGATGGAGCCTGCCTGTGGGAATGCCAGGGCTCACAGGGCTCTGCAGCTTGGTCCTTGTCACCTGGCTGGGACTGATCCCACACAAAACCCACCCACCCCAAATGTTTGCTGCCTGGACAGGTGGGGATGCCCCAGGCTCACCACCGGCTCCGTTTCGGGCACTGTGTCACACTTCTGGATGCCAAGGAGCCTCTTCAGCACCACCTCCCAGCCTGGCTCGGCCCTCCCAGGCTCCTTGTCCGTGTGGGGCGCAGCGTCCTCCGGGGGCTCCTGTCCCTCCCCGGTGCTCACCCAGGGACACCAATCGCGGTGCTGGGAGCTGGGGTGGAAGAAGCTCCTCAGGGAGGTGTCCTGGCAACGAGGAGGTGACAGAGAAGGGACACAGCAATGGCACGATTAGAGACACCAGAAACCCCTCTTTGTGAGCAGGGGCTGCCACACCCTGGGGCGAGGAGCTCCGGCAGGGTCACTCACCGAGCCGCTGGAGGAGCAGAGGCGCGCGCGCTTGGCGCGGCGCACGGGGCTGGACGGCACCTCCATGGTGTCCCCCTGGCCCATGCTGCGCGTCACGGGCCGGCTCCTCAGCGCGGGGCTGCTCACGTCCAGCTCGCCCCTGTCCATGGAGCCGGGCGAGTCCCAGCCCCGGGGCCGCGCCACGGCTGGGGACGGGCTCTTCTCGTGCTGCGGGGGGAAACGGGACCGTGGAGCTGCTGCTCACCTTGGCCGGCTCCAACCCTCCCTTCCCACCCCACAGGGCCCTTCCCACCACATGGAGTGTCCATTGGATGGGGTGAGGGATTGTGGAGCTGCTGCTCACCTTGTCCTACTCCAACCCTCCCCTCCCACCACATGGAGTGTCCATTGGATGGGGTGAGGGACCATGGAGCTCTCCTGCTGACCTTGTCCTGCTCCAACCCTCCTCAGCCACCCCAGGGAGTGTCTATTGGATGTGGGTGAGGGATCTGGAGCTGCTGCTCACCTTGTCCTGCTCCAACCCTCCCTTCCCACCCCAGTGATGTGTCGATTGGATGTGGGTGAGGGACTTGGAGCTCTCCTGCTGACCTTGTCCTGCTCCAACCCTCCCCTCCCACCCCACAGGGCCCTTCCCACCACAGGGATGTGTCGATTGGATGTGGGTGAAGGATCTAGAGCACCTGGAGCTGGCCAGGTGTCCCTGCCCTGCCCAGAGAGGGATGTCAATTGGACACATGTGGGTGAGGGATTTGGAGCTCCTCTGCTCACCAAGGGGCCTTGTCCAGCTCTAACCCTCCTCAGTCACCCCACAGGAGCCCTTCCCACCACATGGATGTGTCCATTGGATGGGGTGAGGGATCTGGAGCTCCTGGAGCTGCCAGGTATCCCTGTCCCACCCAGAGGGGGATGAGGGATGTCCATAGGATGTGGATGAGAATTTTGGAGCTCCTGGAGCTGCCAGGTGTCCCTGGCCTGCCCAGAGAGGAATGAAGGATGTCCCTTGGATGTGGGTGAGGGAGTTGGAGCTCCTGGAGCTGCCAGGTGTCCCTGTCCCACCCAGAGGGGGATGAGGGATGTCCATAGGATGTGGATGAGAATTTTGGAGCTGCCAGGTGTCCCTGCCCTGCCCAGAGGGGGATGAGGGATGTCCACTGGATGTGGATGAGAATTTTGGAGCTCCTGGAGCTGCCAGGTGTCCCTGGCCTGCCCAGAGAGGAATGAAGGATGTCCCTTGGATGTGGGTGAGGGAGTTGGAGCTCCTGGAGCTGCCAGGTGTCCCTGGCCTGCCCAGAGAGGAATGAAGGATGTCCCTTGGATGTGGGTGAGGGAGTTGGAGCTCCTGGAGCTGCCAGGTGTCCCTGGCCTGCCCAGAGAGGGATGAGGGATGTCCACTGGATGTGGATGAGAATTTTGGAGCTGCCAGGTGCCCCTGGCCTGCCCAGAGCCCCAGGACAGGATGGAGGTACCTGCTCAGAGGCTGGGTCCTGGCTCCGTGTCAGCATCCTGCGAGGGGAGGTGGGCACGGGCGGGGTGGTGCTGCTGGAGCCACAGGAATCCAGCTCTGGAGCTGCAGCAGACTCCAGCTGGTGGAAGCCCCAGAGCCCCACCTTCCTCATGCAGCGGGAGCAGGTGATCACCGACAGGTTCATGGAGCCCGAGGCAGCGCTGCAGGCACAGACACAAGTCAGGGGATCCTCTTGGGATCCTTGTGGGACCCTCATGGGATCCTCATGGAATCCTCATGGGATCCTCATAGGGTCCTCATGGGATCCTCAAAGGGTCCTCATGGAATCCTCTAGGGTCCTCATGGGATTTTCATGGGATCCTTGTGAAATCCTCATGGGATCCTCATGGGATCCTCATGAGATCCTCATGAGATCCTCATGAGATCCTCACAGGGTACTCATGAGAATCCTTGTGGGATCCTCATGGAATCTTAATGAGATCCTCATGGAATCTCATAGGGTCCTCATGGAATCCTCATAAGGTCCTCATGAGATCCTCATGGAATCCTCATGGGATCCTCATGGAATCCTCGTGGAAACCTCATGAAATCCTCTAGGGTCCTCATGGGATCCTCACGGGAATCTCATGGGATTCTCATGGGATCCTTGTGGAATCCTCACTGGATCCCCATGGAATCCTCACTGGATCCCCATGGAATCCTCATAGGGTCCTCATGAGATCCTCATGGGATCCCCATGGAATCCTCATAGGAACCTCATGGGATCCTCACGGGAATCCTCATGGAATTCTCATAGGGTCCTCACAGAATCCTGATGGAATCCTCATGGGATCCTTGTGGGATCCTCGTGGAACCCTCATGGAATCCTCATGGAATCCTTATGGGATCCTCATGAAGCCCACATGGGATTCTCATGGGACCCTCATGGGATCCTCATGAAATTCTCATGAGATCCTCATGGATGGGTTGAAAGGGATCTTAAAGCTCATCTCATTCCAACCCCTCATGGGCAGGGACACCTCCCACCATCCCAGGCTGCTCCAAACCCCGTCCAACCCAGCCTTGGACACTTCCAGGGATGGGGAAAGTCAGGAGATAAGCCTGGGCTTGGAAAAGCCAGGGAAATAAGTCCATTAAATCCCATTTATGATGATGATTTAAACTGGCCCAGTTGTGTTTTGCCTTGCCAGAAAGCAGGAACAGAGGGGGGAAAGAGGGAAAAAAAGGGTAAAATAAGGGAAGCAGGAATGTAGTGGAAAAGTGAGAAAATAGTTTAAAAAGGGAAGAAGTATCCTAGTGAAAAATAGGGAAAAAAGTGGTAAAATAAGGGAAGTGGGAATGCAGTGGAAAAGTGAGAAAATAGTGTAAAAAGGGAAGAAGGATCCTAGTGAAAAAGAGGGGGAAAAGTGGTAAAATAAGGGAAGTGGGAATGTAGTGGAAAAGTGAGAAAATGGTTAAAAAAGGGAAGCAGGATCCTAGTGAAAAAGAGGGAAAATTGGAAAATTGTAACAACAAAGGAAGCAGGAGAATAGTGCAAAGAAGGAAAGTAGGAAAATTGTGACACAAAGGAAGCATGAAAATAGTAAAAAAGAGGGAAATGGGAAAATAAAATCAGATAGGCAGAAGCATGGTGAAAAAGAGGGAAAACAGTGAAAAAGGGATCCTGAGCATTCCGCAGGAGGAACATCCCACACCCCTGCAGCCCCCAGGAGCTTTCATGGCCAGCCCAGAGGTGAGGCACATCCAGGCCCAGCCCTGCAGCCCTGCCCACCTGCAGGTCCAGCCGCACAGCGCCAGGATGCAGGCAGGAACGTGCACCTGCAGCATTTCCGTGGGAACCTTCCCAGGAGGCTTCTCCCCCTCCGTGCCTTTGTGCTCCAGCTCCTCCCCGATGAGCTGCAGCAGCCGAGTGATCCTCTCCTCTGTCAGGGACTGCAGGGACAAAATGCACTGGTTTTACCCCAAATCACATCCCACGTGGAGAACGATCCCTTTTGCACCCCCAGCTCTGGGAAACAGGGAAAAGGCACTGAGAGCTCCCCATTCCATGCAATGTGCCCGGCTGCTCCCTCAGGAGGAGCAGCTCCCACTCCTGCTGTGCCTTTCTGAGCTCAGCCAGCCCTAAAGCACCCCTGGGCTGTGGAATCCTCATGGGATCCTCATGGGATCCTTGTGGAATGCTGATCTTGAGTGACCCAGAAGGAAAGGAACAGAAAGGCTCAGTGTTCCCACATGGCAGCAGCAATGTGCCCCCTGTTCACTGCCAGGGCAATTGCAGCCAGGAAAATTGGGAAATGGGGGTGACACTGCTTTGTGGGATAATCAATTCATTAATTAAGGCACTCAGAGCACTCCTCCCTACCCACTCTCTGCCCACACCTCAGGTTCAGGGGGGCAGCCCCTGGCATCCCAAATTCTTGTCTGCACACATCCCAGCTAATGAGTGATCCATGGGCTGCCCCTTCTCATGGAGTGCTGGAGCTGCCAGGGAGATCCCAAAGGATCCCAAATCCCCTCTCCCAGGCACCACAGAGCAGCCTGGACACTGGGAAAGGAACCACACACACTTCCCAGCTGATGAGCCATTCCAAACTCCTCTTTACACATTTCCATGGGGGAATGTCCAAGGGGAAAAACCAGGTGGGAGCAGATCCCTCACACACACACACAGAGGCTGAAATCCCTGACTTTGGGTGGGCCCAGGCTCATCCCTGGGGCTGGAATGCTGCAGGTTTTGGGAGCAGGAGGGAACTCACCATGTTCTTCAGGTCTTCTGGTTTGAGGGAGGGCAGCTGCAGCTCCAGCTGGCACAGGCTCTGGAAGCGATCCAGGAAATCCTGGAGAAGAACTCGGGGCTCATCCACCAGGAGCCTGGCAAAGCGATCTGGGGAGGGCAGAGCTGTGCTCAGCATTCCCAGCCCTCCTCATCCCACAGGGAAAGGCAGGGCACAGCCCAGCCAGGCTCCCCAGGGGAATGCAGGGATGGGGGGAGAGGGAGGGACCTTAAGGGGAAGGGGGAAAAGTTTAGGTGGGATCTTGGCAATGAGCAATTCCTGCCTGGGCTGGCATTGCCAGAGCAGCTGGGGCTGCCCCTGATCCCTGCAGTGCCCAAGGCCAGGCTGGAGCAGCCTGGGATGGTGGGACTGGAATGGGATGGGCTTGAAGGGCCCTTCCCACCCAAACCATTCTGGGGTTTGGGACACTCAGAATCCATCCCCAGGGATTTTTATGGAAGTTGGGGATGGCAAAGGGAAGGGAGACCCTTCCTGGAGTGCTGAGGTTGCCAGTGAAGCCCCCAGACCCCAAAATTCCTTCCTGGAGAGGAGTCGGGGTGGGGATGGATCCAATGGCAGGCTGGGAGAGCTGGGAATGGAGGGAATTCCCTGGAGAGGGAGCCTGGGGTGGGATTTTGGGAAGGGATTCCCAGAGCAGCTGGGGCTGCCCCTGATCCCTGCAATGGCCAAGGTTGGACACTGGGGCTGGAGCAGTCTGGGACAGGGGGAGCTGTCCCTGGAGTGGCATTGGAGGGGCTTTAATTTCCCTTCCAACCCCAACAATTCCATGATTATTTTCCTGGCTCTTAAAGGAAAAGCTCAGCACAGATTTTTCCCTTCACAGCATTCCCAAGCAGCTCCCAAGACAGGACCCATCCCTCTCTGAGCATTCCATGACACCCAACCTCCCCTGTCCCCTTCCAGGTCCAACCCAAAAACAATCTAACTGCTCCAGAGGCACCCAGAGCTCAGGAAAAGCTGGAAACAGCCCTGGGGCTTCCATCTGCTGCTTTCCTTATGTTCCATCATTCCCACAGGGAAAAGCAGTGTGTGATGGCAGGAACAACAGTGAAAAGGGGAAAAAAATGAAAAAATGGGAATAAAGCAGGAATCTGAGGCACCCACCTGGGCAGGGGCTGTCTGGCCAGAAGCAGAACTTCTCATGGGCAGTGCTCAGCGCCTTCCTGAGCTCCTCACAGCGCTCCTTGTCTGCAGGGAAAAGCTCTGCGATATTCCCTGCTCAGGGAATGGGCAGGAAAAGCAGGGAATGGCCCCAGGGAATGGGCAGGAAAAGCAGGGAATGGGCAGAAAAATCAGGGAATGGGCAGGAAAAGCAGGGATGGGCAGGAAAAGCAGGGAATGGCCCCAGGGAATGGGCAGGAAAAGCAGGGAATGGCCAGGAAAAGTAAGGAATGGTCAGAAAAACCAAAGAATGGCCAGGAAAACCAGGGAACGCCAGGAAAACCAAGGAATGGTCAGGAAAAGCAGGGAATGGGCCGGAAAAACAGGGAATGGGCAGGAAAAGCAAGCCAGGAGGTGGCAGAGTTCCCTGGGATGATTTCCCAGGCTGGAGGCTGCACAGCCTGAAGCTTCACCTCAGACTGTTCATATCATTTTAATAATAATTTTAAATTTATTTGAATAATAAATTAATTTTAAATAAATTATTATTAATTAAATTTAATGACAATTTTAGAAATATATTCTCAAAAAAACCCCAAAAAATAAAGTGTCCTAATTAAAAAAAAAAAAGTTTTTTAAAATACTCTTGTCAAAGCAAGAAGTACTGAAATTTAAATGTTAACACCTACTATAAGCACTAATGGATGCTGAGAATTCTCAACTCTGTGTTTAGAACTCTGAGAATTCCAAACTCTGTGTATAGAACTCTGAGAATTCCAAACTCTGTGTTTAGAACTCTGAGAATTCCAAACTCTGTGTATAGAACTCTGAGAATTCCAAACTCTGTGTATAGAACTCTGAGAATTCCAAACTCTGTGTTTAGAACTCTGAGAATTCTAAACTCTTGTGTATAGAACTCTGAGAATTCCAAACTCTGTGTATAGAACTCTGAGAATTCCAAACTCTGTGTTTAGAACTCTGAGAATTCTAAACTCTGTGTATAGAACTCTGAGAATTCTAAACTCTGTGTATAGAACTCTGAGAATTCCAAACTCTGTGTTTAGAACTCTGAGAATTCTAAACTCTTGTGTATAGAACTCTGAGAATTCCAAACTCTGTGTTTAGAACTCTGAGAATTCCAAACTCTGTGTATAGAACTCTGAGAATTCCAAACTCTGTGTATAGAACTCTGAGAATTCTAAACTCTTTCAGCACAGCAAGTTTAAAATTCTCAGCATCCAGGATTCCAACCTCAAACCTCCCCCCTGTTCCCACCAAGGGGAATTCCAGGCTCCCTCCCAGGACACAAATGGCACCTCAGCAGCTCCCCCTGCCCACAGCCCAAATCCCTCCCATTCCCATTCCCATTCCCATTCCCATTCCCATTCCCATTCCCATTCCCAGGGGAGCCCAAGCCAGCCCTGGGCACAGAACCTGCTGCATGCTGCCAGTTCCTTCTCCCGGGATGCTGCCAACCCCTGGCTGAGCTGATCCCTCCATCCCAAATCCCAGCCATGCCTGCAAATCAAACTTCCCCCCCCCAAAAAAAACCCCAAAAAATTTCAGACATTTAATTCCACTTACACTTTCAGAACCAAATAATTTCTTTTTCCATTTGTTTTTTCACTGCCTCCTTCCCAATCTTTGATTATTTTGGATTTTCCTAACCCTGGTGTGATTTCCAATGGGATAATTAGGCCAAGGTTTATTTAACAGAGATAATCTGAATAAATAGGGAATGTTGATCTTGAGTGAGCCAAAAGGAAAGGCTCAGTGTTCCCACAGGCAGCAGGAATGTGCTCCCTGTCCACTCCCAGGGCAACTGCAGCCAGGAAAATTGGGAAGTGGGGATGGCACTGCCTTGTGGGATAATAAGGAGTTCATTAATTAAATCTCCCAATGGAATTTCTGCCTGAATGCCTTTGGTGAGCAGCAAGCACCAATCAATTTTTCCATGCTGGAAAAATCCAGTGGAGGATCAGGGAAGCAGATCCAGGAATTGGGAAAGAAAAGGGAATTTTTAAAAAGGATTTTCAGATCCTTAAATGCATCCAGAGGGCAACGAGGCTGGAGGAATGGCTGGAAGACCTGGGAAGAGGCTGAGAGCCTTGGGATTGTTTGGAGGAGAGGAGGATGAGGGGTGAACTCTGCACCTGCTGGGGGAGGGAAGGGCTGAGCTCTGCCCTGGAATGCTGGGGCAGGACTGGCAGGGAATTCCAGCATGGGAATGGCTCAGGGCTGCACCGGAGGCTCAACAGGAGGAACTGTTTCTGTACCAGGATGATCCAGCTCTGGAATATCCCAAGAGGTGATCAGTGCCCCAAGCCTGGAAGTGTTCCAGATGTTTTGGGATCATTCCCTTGGGTCTGGTTTGAGGTTTGGAACCTCTCTGGGGTTTTCCAGTCCTTAAAGGATGGCTGCAAAGAGGATGGAGGTTTCCTTTCCATGGGGAGGACAAGGAGCAGTGGGGATGGGGTGTGCTGGGAGAGGTTTAATCCCAGCATAAAAAAGGAATTTCTTACAGAATTCCATCATTCCCTGGAACCATCATTCCTTGGAATCATCATTCCCTGAGATCATCACTCCTGGCACCACCATTCCCTGAAACTATCATTCTTTGGGACCATCACACCCCAAAATCTCCATTCCTAAGGAATATCATTCCCTGGGAGCATCATTCCTTAGGAGCATCATTCCTGGCACCATCATTCCCTGGAACCATAATTCCTTGGAATCATCATTCCCTGAGATCATCATTCCTTGGAACCACCTTGGGTGCCATGGAACCATCATTCCCTGAGATCATCATTCCTGGCACCAGCATTCCCTGAGATCATCATTCCCTGAGATCATCATTCCCTGAAACCATAATTCCTTGGAATCATCATTCCCTGGAACCATCATTCCTTGGAACCACTGTGCCATGGAATCATCATTCCCTGAGATCATCATTCCTGGCACTATCTTTGCCTGGAACCATCATTCCTTGCAATCCTCATTTCCTGAGACCACCATTCCTTGGAACCATCATTCCTGGCACCACCATTCCCTGAGATCATCATTCTTTGGGACCATCACACCCCAAAACCTCCATTCCTAAGGAATATCATTCCCTGGGAGCATCATTCCTTAGGACCATCATTCCTGGCACTATCATTGCCTGGAACCATAATTCCTTGCAATCATCATTTCCTGAGAGCATCATTCCCAGAAAATGTAATTCCTTGAACCATCATTCCCTGAGATCATAATTCCTGGCACTATCATTGCCTGGAACCATAATTCTTTGGAACCATCATTCCCTGGAACCAGCATTCCCTGAGATCATCGTTCTTTGGGACCATCACTCCCCAAAACCACCATTCCTAAGGACCATCCTTCCCTGGAACCATAATTCCTTAGAATCATCACTCCCTGAAACCATAATTCCTTGGAACCATCATCCTGGGACCATCATTCCCAGTTCCTTGGAACCATCATTCCCTGAGATCATAATTCCTGGCACTATCATTGCCTGGGACCATCTTTCCTTGGAACAGCATTCCCTGAGACCATCACTCCTTAGGACAATCATTCCTTGAAACCATAATTCCTTGGAACCCTCCCTCCTTAGAACCACCATTCCCTGGAACCACCATTCTTTAGGACAATCATTCCCTGAACCCATAATTCCTTGGAATCATCATTTCCTGGGTTCATAATTCCCTGAAACCATCCCTCCTTGGAACCACCATTCCCTGGAACCACCATTCCCTGGGGCCATCCCTCCTCAGAACCACCATTCCCTGGACACCAGCACAGAACAGGAGGAGCTTTAAGACCCCTCCCAACCCAAACTCCCTACAATCCCACGACCTCTCCCAGCTGGAATTCCCAACACAAACCAGGACTGATTATCCCACCCCCAACCAAACACCACCCATTGACCCTGAGCTGCTTTCCCACCCTCCCCGCCCCTGGGAGCCGCTGCGCCCCGCGATCCCACAATCCCAAATCCCACAATCCCAAATCCCCAAATCCCAAATCCCCAGCTCTGGGCCGCCCCCACTCACAGTTGCTGAGGTCCAGGGTGAGCTGCAGGCTCATGCACAGGTAGGCCTGGCAGCTGGAGCACCTGAGCATGTCACACTCGACGCTGACCCAGCCGAAACGCGCGCACACCAGCGGGGACAGCGCCGGCGGCTTGCCCGCCCACCTCAGGGGGTCTGCCCGTCAAGGAGAGACAGCAGCACCACAACTCTGGGATTTATGGGATGGGGAACGTGCCCTGGGAGGGCTCGGAGAGATGGGGGTCTGTGGGGAAACACTCCCAGGGACAGAGAGCTCAGGGTCTGTGGGGAAAGATTCCAGGGAGGGACAGCTCGGGGTTTGTGGGTTGGGGAAGCATTCCCAGGGACAGAGAGCTTGGGGTTTATGGGGAAACATTGCCAGGGAGGGCTGGGAAAGCTCAGGGTTTGTGGGATGGGGAAACATTTCCAGGGAGGCAGAGATTGGGGTTTGTGAACTGGGGAAACATTCCCAGAGAGGCAGAGCTCGGGGTCTGTGGGATGGGGAAACATTCCCAGGGAGAGCTCGGGGTTTGAGGGGAAGCATTCCCAGGGACAGAGAGCTTGGGGTTTGTGGGGAAAGATTCCCAGAGAGGCAGAGATTGGGGTTTGTGGGGAAACATTCCCAGGCATGGAGAGCTTGGGATTTATGGGGAAACGATCCCAGGGAGGGAGAGCTTGGGGTCTGTGGGGTTGGGGAAACATTCCCTGGGATGGAGAGCTCGGGGTTTGTGGGGAAAGATTCCCAGGGACAGAGAGCTCGGGGTCTGTGGGATGGGGAAACATTCCCAGGCTGGACTTTAGGAAAATGTTGGATTTAGGAAAAGCTTGGATTATAGGAAAAGGCAAGATTTTAGGAAAAGGCTGGATTTCAGGAAAAGGTCGGATTTAGGAAAAGGCTGGATTTCAGGAAAAGACAGGATTTTAAGAAAGGGCAGGATTTTAGGAAAAGACTGGATTTGAGGAAGAGGCTGGATTTAGGAAAAAGTTTTATTTAGGAAAAGCTTGGATTAGAGGAAAAGTTGAGATTTTAGGAGAAGGCTGGATTTCAGGAAAAGGCTGGATTTAGGAAAAGGTTGGATTTTAGGGAAAGGCAGAATTTTAGGAAGAGGCAGGATTTTAGGGAAACATTGGATTTAGGAAAAGGCTGGATCTCAGAAAAAGGTTGGATTTTAGAAACAGGTTGCATTTAGGAAAAACTCAGATTATAGGAAAAGGCTGGATTTGAGGAAAAGGTTGGATTTAGGAAAAGTCTGGATTTTAGGAAAAGCTTGGATTATAGGAACAGGTTGGATTATAGGAAAAGATGGGATTTTAGGCAAGGGCTGGATTTCAGGAAAAGGTTGGATTTAGGAGAAGGCAGGATTTTGGGAAAAGGTTGGATTTAGGAAAAGATTGGATTTTAGGGAAAGGTGGAATTTTAGGAAGAGGCAGGATTTTAGGAAAAGGTTGGATTTAGGAAAATGCTGGATTTTAGGAAAAGGTTGGATTATAGGAAAAGGCTGGATTTTAGGATAAGGCTGGATTTTAGGAAAAAGCTGAATTTTGGGAAAAGGCAGGATTGTAAGAGAAGGTGGGATTTAGGAAAAGGCATGATTTTAGGAAAAGGTTGGATTTAGGAAAAGTTGGATTTAGGAAAAGGCAGGATTTAAGGAAAAGGTTGGATTTTAGGAAAAAGCTGAATTTTAGGAAAAGGCTGGATTTGAGGAAAAGGCTGGATTTGAGGAAAAGCTGGATTATAGGAAAAGCTTGGATTTAAGGAAAAGGCTGGATTTTGGGAAAAGGCTGGATGTTAAGAAAAGGTTAGCTTTAGGAAAAGCTAGGATCATAGGAAAAGTTGAGATTTTAGAAAAAGGCGGGATTTAGGCAAAGGCTGGATTTTAGGACAAGGCTGGAATTTAGGATGAGCCTAGATTTTAGGAAAAGGCTGGATTTAGAAAAATGCTGGATTTAGGATGAGCCTGGATTTTAGGACAAGGCTGGAATTTAGGATGAGCCTAGATTTTAGGAAAAGGCTGGATTTAGAAAAATGCTGGATTTAGGATGAGCCTGGATTTTAGGACAAGGCTGGAATTTAAGATGAGCCTGGATTTCAGGAAAAGGCTGGATTTAGAAAAATGCTGGATTTAGGATGAGCCTGGATTTTAGGACAAGGCTGGAATTTAAGATGAGCCTGGATTTCAGGAAAAGGCTGGATTTAGGATCAGCCTGGATTTTAGGAAAAGGCTGGCTTTAGGATGAGCCTGGATTTTAGGAAAAGGCTGGAATTTAAGATGAGCCTGGATTTCAGGAAAAGGCTGGATTTAGGATCAGCCTGGATTTTAGGAAAAGGCTGGATTTAGGATGAGCCTGGATTTTAGGAAAAGGCTGGAATTTAAGATGAGCCTGGATTTTAGGAAAAGGCTGGATTTAGAAAAAGGCTGGATTTAGGATGAGCCTGGATTTTAGGAAAAGGCTGGATTTAGGATGAGCCTGGATTTTAGGAAAAGGCTGGAATTTAAGATGAGCCTGGATTTTAGAAAAAGGCTGGATTTAGGATGAGCCTGGATTTTAGGAAAAGGCTGGCTTTAGGATGAGCCTGGATTTTAGGACAAGGCTGGAATTTAAGATGAGCCTGGATTTCAGGAAAAGGCTGGATTTAGGATGAGCCTGGATTTTAGGAAAAGGCTGGATTTAGGATGAGCCTGGATTTTAGGAAAAGCCTCTTCCCCAGAGGGTGCAGGGGCACTGAGCATTCCCCAGGCAATGGCCACAGCTCCACAGCTCCAGCAGCACTGGGACAGCTCCCAGGGCCAGGGAGGAGCTTTGGGATGTCCCTGCAAGGGCAGGACTGGATCAGTGACCCCTCTGGCTGCTCCCCCACAATCCCAGCTGGGATCCCAGCATCCCAAAGGATATGGTGAACGTTTCCACCCTGCTGAAGTAGGCCTCCCTGCTGGCAGACTCCAGGGAAGGAGCCTCCGGCTGCGAGGGTCCATTGGCGCGCTCCGAGCAGTCCGACGTGTCCTTCCTGCAAGGGACAGCAGCAGGAAACTGGGAAAGGAGGGATTTGGGAACAGCCTGGGACTGGGAAAGGAGGGACATGGGAACAGGCTGGGAATGGGAAAGGAGGGATTTGGGAACAGGCTGGGACTGGGAAAGGATGGAAATGGGAACAGGCTGGGACTGGGAAAGGAGGGACATGGGAACAGGCTGGGACTGGGAAAGGAGGGATTTGGGAACAGCCTGGGACTGGGAAAGGGTAGAGATGGGAACAGGGTGGGACTGGGAAAGGAGGGATTTGGGAACAGCCTGGGACTGGGAAAGGAGGGATTTGGGAACAGGGTGGGACTGGGAAAGGATGGAAATGGGAACAGGGTGGGACTGGGAAAGGAGGGATTTGGGAACAGGCTGGGACTGGGAAAGGATGGAAATGGGAACAGGCTGGGAATGGGAAAGGATGGAAATGGGAACAGGCTGGGAATGGGAAAGGAGGGATTTGGGAACAGGGTGGGACTGGGAAAGGAGGGATTTGGGAACAGGCTGGGACTGGGAAAGGATGGAAATGGGAACAGGCTGGGAATGGGAAAGGATGGAAATGGGAACAGGCTGGGAATGGGAAAGGAGGGATTTGGGAACAGGGTGGGACTGGGAAAGGAGGGATTTGGGAACAGGCTGGGACTGGGAAAGGGTAGAGATGGGAACAGGCTGGGAATGGGAAAGGAGGGATTTGGGAACAGGCTGGGACTGGGAAAGGATGGACATGGGAACAGGGTGGGACTGGGAAAGGATGGAAATGGGAACAGGCTGGGAATGGGAAAGGGTAGAGATGGGAACAGGCTGGATTTGGGAAAGGATGGATTTAGGAACAGGCTGGGACTGGGAAAGGAGGGATTTGGGAACAGGCTGGGAACGGGAAAGGAGGGACATGGGAACAGGCTGGGACTGGGAAAGGAGGGATTTAGGGAAAGGGTGGGTTTGGGAACAGGCTGGGACTGGGAAAGGATGGACATGGGAACAGGTTGGATTTGGGAAAGGATGGACATGGGAACAGGCTTGATTTAGGAACAGGCTGGATTTTGAACAAGGTTGGGTTTAGGAACAGGCTGGATTTAGGGAAAGGATGGACATGGGAACAGGTTGGATTTAGGGAAAGGATGGATTTAGGAACAGGATGGATTTAGGAAAAGGATGGATTTATTAGGAACAGGCTTGATTTAGGAACAGGCTGGATTTTGAACAAGGTTGGGTTTGGGAACAGGCTGGATTTAGGAAAAGGTTGGATTTCAGGAACAGGCTGGATTTTGGGAAAGGCTGGATTTCAGGAACAGGCTGGATTTTGGGAAAGGCTGGGTTTAGGAACAGGCTGGACTCTGGGAAAGGTTGGGTTTTAGGAAAAGGCTGGATTTAGGAAAATGTTGAATCTAGGAAAAGATTGAATTTAGGAACAGGTTGGATTTTGGGAAAGGTTGGGTTTTGAAAAGGCTGAATTTTAGCGACAGACTGGATTTTAGGAAAAGGCTGAATTTTGAACAAGGTCGGATTTTAGGAAAATGTTGGATTTTAAAGGCTGGATTTAGAAAAAGGTTGGATTTAGGAACAGGTTGGATTTAGGAAAAGGCTGTATTTTAGGATAAGACTGGATTTTATGGACACACTGGATTTTAGGAAAAGACTGGATTTAGGAAAAGACTGGATTTATAAAAAGGCTGGATTTAGGAAAAGATTGGATTTAGAAAAAGATTGGATTTTAGAGAGAGCGAGGATTTTAGGGACAGATTGGATTTTGGGGAAATGTTGGATTTTAGGAAAAGGTTGGATTTTAGGAAAAGGCTGGATTTAAGAAAAGACTGGATTTAGGAAAAGGTTTGGTTTAGCAAAAGGCTGGAATTAGGAAAAGGTATGATTTGAAGAAAAGGCTGGATTTTAGGGACAGACTGGATTTCAGGAAAAGGCTGAATTTAGAAAAGCTTGCATTTAGGAACAGGCTGGATTTTGGGAAAAGTTGGATTTTAGGAAGAGATTGGATTTTAGGAAAAGGCTGGATTTTAGGGACACACTGGATTTTAGGAAAAGGCTGGATTTTGAACAAGGTTGGATTTTAGGAAATGGATAGATTTTAGAAAAAGGTTGGATTTTATGAAAAGGCTGGATTTAAGAAAAGATTGGATTTAGGAAAAGGTTTGGTTTAGCAAAAGGGTGGATTTCAGAAAAAGGCTGGATTTAGGAAAAGGCAGGATTTTGGGAAAGGTTGGGTTTAGGAACAGGCTCCATTTTGGGAAAGGTTGGGTTTAGGGAAAGGCTGGATTTTAGGGACAGACTGGATTTTAGGAAAAGGCTGGATCTTGAACAAGGTTGGATTTTAGGAAATGGCTGGATCTTAGGAAAAGGTTGGGTTTAGGATAAGGCAGGATTTGAGGAAAAAACTGGATTTTAGGGAGAGACTGGATTTTAAGAAAAGGCTAAATTTGGAACAAGGTTGGATTTTAGAAAAAGGACGAATTTAGGAAAAGGTTGGATTTTAGGAAAAGACTGCATTTTGGGAATATGCTGGATTTTAGGAATAGGAAATGCACAGAGCATTTCCTAAACCCCCCTCCCTCAGGCTTATCCTGACAAGGACTTTCTGCAGAGCTCCCCATTCCCAGCTTTTCTTTAATTCCTAATAAAACAATAAATAAAATCCCAAAGGTGCCCTGACTGTGTCCCAGTGCCAGTTGGGCCAGTGGGATCTGGGACAAGGAGGGGACAGGACATTTCTGTGAGCCCAGCAGGGGCAGGGTGAGGGTTGGGGTGTCTGGGGTGTCCCAACACTGCAATGGGGGGCTGCAATGTCCATCCCATCCTCCAAACACTCTAATTCTGAGCCAAAATTTAGGGAGGGCTGGGACAAGGGAGCCCTAAGACACCCCAAAGCCCAGCCCCCACTGCTCCCAGTGCCCCCCAGTGCTCCCAGTGCCCCCCAGTGCTCCCAGTAACCCCAGTGCCTCCCAGTGCCCCCCGAGGTGTGACCCCTGTGACCAGGACGGGGCCACTTCAGCCCATGGGGACTCCAAGGGTCACTGACCTGGGCTGCCCTCCCAGTGCTCCCAGTTCCCTCCCAGTGCCCCCAGTTATGCTCCCAGTGCCCCCAATGCCTTCCCAGTATCCTCCCAGTGCCCCCAGTTCCCTCCCAGTGCCCCCAGTTACCCTCCCAGTGCCCCCAGTGCCCTGCCAGTGCCCCCAGTGCCCTCCCAGTGCCTTCCCATTGCCCTCAGTACACTCCCAGTCCCCTCCCAGTACCCTCAGTACCTTCCCAGTGTCCCCAGTTACCCTCCCAGTGCCCCAAGCATGCTTCCAGTGCCCCCAATACCCTCCCAGTAACCCCAGTACCCTCCCAGTACCCCCTCAGTACCCTCCCAGTAACCCCAATACCTTCCCAGTGCCCCCAGTACCCTCCCAGTGCTCTTCTAGTGTCCCAGTATCTCTTTCAACTGCGGCCTTCTTGTCCTTCCAGTATTCCCAGCGCTCCTGAGTCCCCCTATTATTCCCAGCGCCCCCGAGTCTCTCCAATATTCCCAGTTCCCCCAGTGCCCCCTCCCAGCCCCCCGGTTCCCAGCGCTCCCAGTCGCTCCCAGTTCATTCCCGCGCTCTCCTTTCCCGCTCTCCCTCCCCAATAACAACTCCCAGCACCTCCCAGTCCCCTCCAGCCTCGCTCTCTCCGACTCCAACCCCCCACAGGACCCCAAATACCCCCAAGGGGTCCCCGATTCCCTCACGGGTCCCCAGCGCTCCCCTCCCCTCACACGGCCGGGCCTCCCCCCGCCTCCCGCCCGGTGCCGCCGGGTCCCCCCCACCCGGTGCCGCTGCCCCTCACCCGCCGGGCCCGGGCCCCTCGCTGGCGATGCCGCCGTCGATGAGGTCGCGGATCTGCCGGGGGGTGACGGGGGGCGGCCGCCCTCGGGTCCCCCCGGCCGCCGCCGCCGCCGCTCCCCCGGCGCTGGGCGCCGCCATTTTGGTCCCTCCCTTCCGTCAGCGCCCGGGAAACGCGGGCCCCGCACGAACGTTCCGCTCGCGCACGATCGTTCCGCCCGCGCCCCGGGGTCGCTCATGGCCTCGCGCAACCCCCGCGCGGCCTCCGGAACCTCGCGGAGGGCTCGGGGAGCGCCGGTGCCCCCGAGAAAATTCCCGCGAATGTCCCCGTGGGTGTCCCCGTGGGTGTCCCCGTGGGTGTCCCCGTGGGTGTCCCCGCGAATGTCCCCGCGCCCCCGCTCTCGGCGCTCCATTGCTCCAGCCTGGATCGATCGCTCATCTCTCCCAACAGCGGCGCTCTCGCCGCAGCCTCCTCCCACCTGCCAACAAGCCCGCAGCTGATAGGCCGCAGCCGAAGAAGCTGGGCGCTGATTGGCGGTTGCCGCTCCGTCCCTCAGGCAGCGGACGGGCCATGTCGGCGGCGGCCGCGGCCCGGGACGGGCTCGGGGAGGGCGCGGGCGGCGCCGCGGGCGGCGGCGATGGCGGCGGGGGAGGGATCCTGAACCGCTTCGTGCAGCTGCCGGGCAGGCCGCGGGCGGCGGGTGAGTGGCGGCCGGCGCCGGGGATGACCCCGAGCCCGAGGCCCTGAAGCGTTCGGGAGCGGGGCGGCCCCGACCGTGAGGGCTCCGAGGGCTCGGGGAGCGCAGCGTCCGCATCTCAGGGGACCGCGACCGGGACAGCCCCGTTTGTAAGGTCCTGAGGGGCTCGGGGTCGGGGCATCCCTGTCTCTGGGGGTCGGGGACCGGGACAGCGCCGTGCCCAAGGCCCTGAGGGGACAGGGACACCGAGGGGACAGGGACACCGAGGGGACAGCTGTCCCTGCTGACACCGAGGGGACAGGGACACCGAGGGGACAGGGACACCGAGGGGACAGCTGTCCCTGCTGACACCGAGGGGACAGGGACACCCAGGGGACAGGGACACCCAGGGGACAGGGACACCGCGGGGACAGCTGTCCCTGCCTCTGGGACATCCCCGGTGGGAGCAGAGCGGCAATAACGGGGTGTCCCTGTCCCCAAGCCGGGAATGCTGTGGGGGGAGCCGGGCTGTTCCCATCCCAATGATCCGGGGTACGGAGCCTGGAGTCAGGGATGGGGGCAGCAATCCTTTTCCAGGGATTTGGGGTCTGTAGGGTTCCCCACCCCAGCGTTCCCCAGGTGCTGGGAGGGGCCTGGGTGCCCCCATGGGTGTGGGGACAGGGGCACCCACCGGGATCAGCCCCATTTCAGCCACCCTGGATAAACCTGGGGTGACCCTGGGGTCCCCCCAGTCTGCAATCCCACTGGATTGGGGTTTGGGACATCTGCCCCATTGTATTGGGGTTTTTGGGACATCTACCCCATTTTATTGGGGTTTTTGGGATATCTGCCCCACTGGATTGGGGTTTTGGGGACATCTGCCCCACTGGATTGGGGTTTTTGGGACATCTGCCCCACTGGATTGGGGTTTTGGGGACATCCTGCCTGGGGTGTGACATAGCTCACTCCTGGTCCCTGGGAAAAATGGGAAATGTTACTGGGAAAATCGCAGCTCTCTGCTAGCAAGGCTGGATGCTGAAGGGTTATTCCATCATTCCTGGATCTCGGTCACCCCAAAACCCCCCAAACCTTCCAGGAAGAGGCTGAGGTCACCCCAGGATCACAGGATTGGGGAGCTGTGCAGCACTGGGGGCTGTGGGACACCCCATGCCCTGTGGGACATCCCATTGTTCCTGATCCCTTTATCTGCTCCTGACCTGGAGCTGCACATGCCAGGGCCAGCAATCCTTGCAGAGGATCCTTTCAAGAAGCCCCTCAGGGGTGGCAGCACCAGGGAAGGGCCTTCCCATCCACATTCCCATCCCCAAACCTGCCCTATGTTCTCCCTCCAAATCCATTTCCCTCACTCCAGGCTCTGGCTCAGCCTCCCAGCCCCTTCCAGCACACTGGGGCTTTGCTGGGTGGTTCCACACCTTCTGGTTTTGGGTAAATGCTCAGCCCCATCTCCCTCCTGGCCTGGAAATCCTTTTTAGGCACCCCAGGCCTGGGTTGGGATGTTGGGAATTGCCCCCTCCTGATCCTGCATGGATCCTGTCCCTCCCTGCAGCTCCCCTGGACACCCAAACCAGCCCAAACCCACCCCAAACTGCCTGCCAGCCCCTAAAAAACTGCATTTTTGGAGTTTGACACCTGTGAGGTGCTATTTCTAGAGCCCTTCCATAACCCTGAGAGAGGAATTTTCCCCCTCACTCCATTCCCTCCAACCTGAATTGTTCCTGAGCTCCCAGTTCTCTTCCAGGGCTCCCAGCTTTGTTTCCTTAGGTGGAACCTCTGGGGCTTCCAGGCCCTGAGGGATAGATAAAGAGGATGGAGGAGGAGAAGGAGCAGTGGGACAGGGTGTGCTGGGAAGGGTCATCCCAATGGAAAAAGGACATTTTCCAGTGAGAACCAGCATCCCCTGGGATGTGCTGGAGTCCCTGGAAGGTTTCAGGACGTGGCTGCTCAAGGTGCTGAGCAGCCTCATCCCAGCTCCTTTGCCCTCAGAACATTGGGCCTGGTGATCCTTCCAGCTCTGTGGTTTTCAATCTCCAGAATTCCTTTATTTTCCTTTATGCTCCTTGGAAACAACAAGCCAAGGATCACTCAGTTGTAGTGGTGTAAAATCCCTTAAAATAGAGATGAAATCCCTTAAAATAGAGGTAAAATCCCTTAAAGTAGAGGTAAAATCCCTGAAAATAAAGGATTAGTGATTGCCCCAGAGATTTTGGACACAAAGCCTGGGAGAGCCAGAGCTGTTCACACAATCCCTGGGTTGGGAGAGCCCTTCAAGAGCCCAGCCCAGCCCCTGGCACCCAGTGCCACCTCCAGGCTGGTTAAACACACCCAGGGATGGTGACTGCACCCCCTCCCCGGGCAGCCATTGCAGAACTTTCTCCCACTTGCTGGAAAAGCTTTTTGCTGCTCTCCAAGCTGGATTTCCCTTGGCACAGCTCAGGCCGTGTGCTCTGGCTGTGCCAGCGCTGCTGGAGACAGAGCCCAAGGGCAGCTGGGCACAGGCACCTTCCAGGAGCTGTGAGAGTGCTGGGGGCACCCTGAGCCTCCTTTCCTGCAGGCTGAGCACCCCCAGATCCCTCAGGGCTCCTCAGGGTTTGTGTCCCAGCCCCTCTGGACATTGATCCAAAGCCAGGATATAATTCTGGAAATGCTGCTTGGAGCTCTCAGCAATGTCTGGAAATCTCTTGGCTGTCCTGCAGGTTTTCCTTTATTTTGAGGGATTTTACCTCTACTTTAAGGGATTTCATCTCTATTTTAAGGGATTTTACACCGCTACAACTGAGTGATCCTTGGCTTGTTGTTTCCAAGGAGCATAAAGGAAAATAAAGGAATTCTGAAGATGTGTTTGGCATCCTTGGCTGGATCCTCTGGCTTCTCCCATTTTCCCTCAGAGCCGTTGTTCAGGGACCCAGCCACAGCTGTGAATTTTTCCCCTTTGGAATTTTTCCCCTTTGGAATTGAATGTCTCAGGCCTGCCCAGGAAAGGGGAGGGTGGGATCTGAACACAGCTGGATGAACAAATCAATTTTAAACCTCACTCTCAGCAGTGCATTCCCAATCCTGCTTATCCAAACATTCCTGAGCGACTCCAATTCCACCAGTTCCAAACTCACTGTGTCCTGCTGTTGTGGAAAAGATGAAACTTTGAAGATGGGAATCAAAGTCAATATTGACTTGTCTTGTCCTGAATGTCCTTCAGGATCAGAAATGGAAAGGGAGGGATTGAATCCTGCTGTTGTGGATGTTGGAAATCCAGGCAGGAGGAAAAATAATCACAGAACCATCTTTAGAAAGCTTTAAAAAGCAGAGAAAAGGACACAGGCACAGCCCTGGGTATTCACCATGGATGTGGGATGTGGAAAAGAGGAGGATCCAAAGCCACACTGGATTTTTTGGGTTTACACCCTGTAGTTATTCTGTTTGTATTTCCAAAAATAGGGCTTGGAGTAGAAATTCTGCTGCTGGTGGTGCTGGTGCTGCGGTGGTGTGACACACGCTGGGGGGATGGCCTTGCACTGGCATTTGTGGGGTTAAACCATGGATTGCTGGGGACACCCTGAGAAGAGGACAGGCTTCTCCCTGCTGCTGTTCCTTTTGCTGTTACCCTGACAGGAAGGACTCTGAGGTGCTCAAAGTGCTGCAGATAACCCTGGGGTGGATATTGAGATGAAATTAGCTTGGGAAAAGAGGGAACTGATAAAGGAGTGTACAATTATGGGATGGTTTGGGTGGGAAGGGAACTCACAGCCCATCCAGTGACACATGGCAGGGACACCTCCCACTGTCCCAGGTGGCTCCAACCCCATCCAGCCTGGCCTTGGGCACTGCCAGGATGCAGGGGCAGCCCCAGCTGCCCTGGCAAGTTCGTTCAGTGCCCCACCATTCTCAAAGTGGAAGTTTTCCCTCATACCCAGCTGGGATTTTCTGTGTTTCACTTTGTGCCCATTGTCCCTTCTCCTGTCACTGAGCAGCCCAGCCCCATTCCTCTCCACACCCACCCCCGAGATAAGAATGGGTTTGTTTGGGGTTTCTGACAGTCACAAGAGAAAGGATGGTTTCAGGAGGCTCTGAACAACCTCACGTCCATGGAACCATGGAATGTTTGCAGAGTCCAACCATTCCCAGCCCTGCCCCACGTCCCCAAGTGCCACATCCACAGGGCTGTGAAACCCCTGCAGGGATGGGGACTGCACCCTGCCCTGGGCAGCCCACTGCCATAACTGGAAACCCTTTCCATGAGGGAATTGTCCTCAGTGTCCCCCCCTAAACCTGTCCTGGGCAGTTCCAGTGCCTGAGCACCTTTTCCATGAAGGAATTGTCCCAAAATTCCCCCTGAGCTGCCCTGGCCCAGCCTGAGGCCGTTCCCTCTGCTCCTGTCCTGGAGCACAGCCCGACCCCCGCGGCTGTGCCCTCCTGGCAGAGCCACAAGGGCCCCTGAGCCTCCTCTGCTCCGGTGTCACATCTGGAAGCACCTTCTGGTCCCATCCCCTGTGCTGATGACAGCTCCTGCAGAGAGGAGCTCCATTAGGAGCAGTTTGGGGCTGTCAGAGCAGCAGCTCCCTCAGAGCTCCGGGGTGAGTCACTGCACAGGGGGAATGGAGCAGGAATGGAGCTGGGTGTGGGCAGCTCACTGCCCAGCCAGCCCCTTGCTGCTGGATGGCTCATAAGGATAATTAGGATTTTCCTTAATTATGTCCCTGTGGTGACACTTCAGCCTGGAATCACTGAATCCATGGGGCTGGAAAAGCCCTCCCAGCCCATCCAGTCCCAGCTGTGCCCATCCCCACCTTGTCCCAGCCCAGAGCCCTGAGTGCCACCTCCAGGAGTTGCTGGGACACCTCCAGGGCTGGGCACCCCAAACCCCCCTGGGCAGCCTCACCCCCTTTCCATGGGGCAATTCCTGCTCTGCCCACCCTGAGCTCCCCTGGCACAGCCTCTCACCCTGAGGGCATTTTCAGGGCAAGGCTGCCCCAGGACCCACCTTCAGCACGTACAGGGGCCGCTGCTCG